GTACGTGGGTTGCCCCTTTTTCCCTTGTCGCGTATGTGGGCCAGAGTTAGGGAGCTTTTCAGAAACGCCACAAAAGAGAAACTATCTCGTCGACAGCTCCGACAGCAATATTAAAGCGTTTATCTTTCATTGTCACCGCTGTAGACACGAAAATGGGGCGATGAACGATCGCGCGGTCGATCATCGATCATAGATAATTCAAGAGTCTTATCGAAAGAGTAATTCTGTTACAGAATTTAAGTTTTTTAAATTCTGTAACAAAATTTACCGAATACAGTTTAAAATTATATATAATAATTTTAAACTTCCAAGGATTAATTTGTCTCCAACAAGTAATTAAAGATTTTTATTTAAAAAATTGAAATATCACACTCTAATATTTGAATAAATAAAATTATATTATATTTTACATTTTTTTTTATTTAAATGCAATAATTAAGCTCTCCGAATCTTTCTGTTTAATAATTTTTTTACGCGCGTTTTATATCTGCAAAATCCACTGCTGGTTTTATTGTCGCGCCTGCACGTCCAATCTCGGTACGTTTGACCGAATTACCGTTGGCCATCCGTTTTAAATCTGCCTTGACAACTACAGACGTGACAGGTGATCTGATGCAATTCGAACAACAGCGCCGCTGTAGCAGTGCTCCGGATAGCGAGTGCACATGTATGTACGTAATACATGTACCGTGTCGCTGAATATGCGGATTACGTTACAGTTGCGATGTTCTTCTCTTTTTCTTTTTTTTCTCTCTATTTTTAAAGCGCGATAACAGTTTCCAAAATTTCGCTACAGATATCGAACTGCCTGTCGAATTTACCAAATGGAAATTGCAAACGTTTAATTAATTTTAATTAATTTTATTTATATTGATTGAGCATTATTTTTATCGATATGATATTTTACTTTTTAATGATACAAATATTTTAATCGTCAAATTGATGTAAAATGTATTTACGTACTTTCGCACTAATCATCTCGAAAAAATTATTTTCAAGATATTACATTAATAACACTATATAACTGTATAATTATATTATCTCATAAAAATAGTTACGCCTAATCTAACTTCGATTCAGAGGGAAATCTGTTTTCAAAATAAACCTCAATACGTCGTTCAACTAAGCTGCTAAATCTCTCAGGCGTTAACGCTAATTTTAACGACACGTACGAAGCAATCGCTTAGGCGACATTAATTAAGCGCGAGAGCCAAGAAAAAGGAGATATAACAACGAGGAGTAACGTGGCGGTCGTTCATCGCGCACAGAGCCGTGGTATGCAGAGGGGTTGTGCCTTGTCGTCACGGCACATATTTTATACGGCAATTTGGCCGTAAGTGGTAAGAACGTAAAGTTAACAAGTCGAGGGGGAAGGAGGGAATCACCTAACAGAAACAAACGAGAAACCGGGACACTCGACACAAGTGGTGGATGGTATGGTAGCGTCGAGCAGGGGAGAGAAGGGGAGGGAAACGAGGGGGATGTAGGTTACCTCCGGAGGTGAGATTTACGAGCGTCGCCGGCCGGCGCGAAAAAGTTTACATTTGCTTCTCTTTCTCTCTCTCTCTTTTCCTCTCCCTCTCTCTCTCTCTCTCTCTGTGCGACTCGCCGGAAGTAGCTGAGAGGATTGACGGTGTTGCGCGATAAAACACAACCACGATAAACTGGATGTTGCGATACCGGCGTGACATTTTAGGTGTCACATCGCGGTGAGGCCATTTCTTTGCTCATTTATCGGAATGCGGGATTTAACTCTCTTTTACAATTCTCTGGATATATATTTATTAAAAAACTGTAAGGGTCAGAGTTATATATTAAAAAATAAAGAAAGAGATCCGTGCGAGTATAAGCACGGATTTAAACAAGTTTAATTACGAGTTTTAGAAGTGAAAAAAACAGGGCCACACTTTATTCTTCGTATAATTTCAAATGAATCTTACCTTTACAGAAATTTTTATATAAAAAGAGATACTGAATATTGACAATTAGCAACGGTATATAAAAAAAAATCTCCGATTAATTCACATTATTTTGTTTTTATTATTCACACTTATATTTCGCTCTTTTTTAATACAAGATAATTTCCGTTGCTCTCGCAAAAAACCGATAAATTATACTTTACATCTTATTTCTTGCCTTTTCCAATATTTTCTGTTCTTGGAAACGCAATTGTAGAATTTTCCAGCAACACGGTTTGCACGGAATTACGAAAAAGAAGTATAATACACATCTCGTTTGTTTTTAACTGACCTAGTTAATGCCGTGAAAAAACTCGACCAGTCAGATACATCATCGGTGTCGCGCAGTTGAAATTTCTGACAAATCGACACTCGTGTGCACGTTGCGTAAATGAGCGTATTGCGACTGGTTGGCAAGTCCGGCCGGGGGAACATTTGGCGAGCAAACTTTTTTAATTAAATGGATACTCGACTATACGCGCCGCGGTGCCGATCAATTTGATACGAAAGGGCGAAAGGCGGCGAAAAGGCGGGAGAGGGAGAGGGCCAGGGGGCGGGGAATCGCCAAGAAATTTAATTTTCGAAAGCACCGTTCAACGAACAGAAAAAAAAACTGATGAAGTAAGGTTCGGACCATTTCGGAAAATTCGTCCGGAAACTGGGCGTTTTACGCACAGTAGGTCAACCGTAATATTGAGGTCGACACAATTGTGGAAAAGTCAATAGTCCAATCTTTAAAGAATAAATTGCGTATCTCGCTGCGCTTCGTGCACTTTGCTTTCGTGCGCGAAATTGCGTTTGTAAAAAAATAGCAGTATGTATGCGCGTGAGATACAGTTCCGAAAGATTAACCTAATAAAAAAGGAGGAAAAAACATCAGTTATATAAACTTTATAATAGTGAAAGAGTTCGAAAAGTAACGAGAAAACCTATAGAAAACCTATAGAACAAAATAAAAATCGAAGATCCTAATTAGGCGTAATAAAAGTGCGGATTAAGAGGAAAACGTGGATTAAACAGAAATAAAAAAGGGAAAAATATCAGTTATATAAACTTCACAACAATGAAAGCGCGAAAAGTAACGAGAAAGCGAGAAATCTATAGAATGCCCGAGATAAAAATCGTAGATACTAATTATATAAAAGAAGCGCGGATTAAAAGGAAAACGTGGATTATAAACAGAAATAATGAAAAGCCGATAAATCGAGAGATTTTAAGAAAATGCGAAAAGGGAGATTTCTATCGAGACAAATAGAGAGACAAATAGAGAGAGAGAGAAAGAGAGAAAGAAAAAAGGGAAGCGTAGACAGTAGCCGAGAAAGGTACTGGAGGGAAGAATAATGGAAAGAGGAATCTATAGAAGGTATCTATTCTTGAGAAGAGAGTAAGCATCGTGCGTAGGAGAGTGACGGAAAGGAATAAGAGGAACGCCTAAAAGAAGAAGTGTCCGGAAGAGAAACGAGAAGATCGCTCTCCGATGTGCACCGAGAGGAGATGGAGAGCGAGACTCGACCTAGACTCCGCGCTCTTCGCATCGAACTTCGACCTTCCGAGCACAATCGACAGCAAACATATCCTGAAACCTCGCCTAACTTCGCGGTTGCCTTCGCTAACCGCTAACTCGATGGCCGCACAAAAGAGAGAAACGCAAGCTCGATTTCTCCTACGTCCTCGAATAGAGACGTCGATGTGAGTAAAACGCTTTCTCGCCGCTTTTTCTCTCTTTAAAAGGTATTTTCAAATAATGCCATAATTTATCGATGGATATCTAGCTAAGTTCTTCAAGGTCTTATCTTTCTAAGAGAAAATGTCGTTATTCACATCGCGAAAAATTTCCATATTAAATGTCTTAAGTAAAATTTGCATAAAATTAATTGAAAAATAATTTTGTTATCTATTTTTCTTCTTGAAGCTGGCTTTTTTCGCGAAGAGTCTTTTTTTAAGCAGTATCTCTTCATGCACAAACCTTTAGGGTGCATTGGTAATTTCGTTGAGTAAAATAAATTGACTTATCAATCGATAGAAAATTATCACTGCAATTTAATCAATTTATCCTGAGACATGCTATATAATCTATCCTTCTCTCTCAGTGTCGGGCAACGGTTCCTTCGCTTTTTACAAATTGGCACCGTAATCTTTTCGACTTCTCGATAATTACGAGAATTTACGGTTTTCCAATTTTTCGGTAAAGTCGGATTTTACTGCTTTTCGAAAAGTAAAGAGAAGATTGTTTTAAATTAAGAATACAGGGGGGATATATACGTAATTTAAAATTAATAAATACTATTTTTGATGCGAATAAACTAAGGTCAGATAAAGTGATCTTTAATATTATTATTGTTACTATTATCGTTACTATCAATATGGTTATTCATTTAATTTTGGAAACGTTCAGTTCTAAAGTGATAATCTAAAACAGGTTAAATCCAGTGAGATAAATCCAGTGTGGTAAATTCACAAAATGAGGCACACGACAAATATGTAAACGTATTTCACTCCACATTTGATGAATTTTGCATATTTTTAGAGGATATATTGCTCAATTTTAATACTGCAAAAGGATTTATCTTGTCATTTTATTCATATCTGCGAGCGTAAAAGATTGCAATGTACACTTTTTTTCACTTCCATTTTCTATTTTCATTTAAAAAATAGATTTTATCTGTATTTTCTTTTGTATTGAGATGATTTTCGTGAGTTGCAATTTTCTCTTTTAAAATAACGACAGATTCGTTTTAAAAAAAAATTAATTTTATTCGCGTAGTAAGTTTTTAAAAATGACATATTATTTTTATATTTAATAGATTTTTTGATTATTTTCAAGAACTTTTATTTGTATTTTTTGTATTTTATATAGAAAGCTAATAATGATAAAAGATGACATTGATATATTATTTCCGAAGAAAGATCTAACAATCTTTCTACAAATATCTTTCAAAAGTGGTTTAATTTAATTACAAAAAAAGTTTTTGATATACATAATTAATGCACAGAAATGGATTATGATCATGAAAAGCGTGTTTTAAAAAAGTAACGACTTACCTGCATGCCGGTTCACCGACGGTCTCGAAAAATAGGCAGGTACCACCGTTCATGCAAAAGTCTCCTGCTATCGGACAGGGCTGCTCCTGCCGCGGCCATGCCGCTGTCGCTGTAATCAAAAAAATCACAATATATCATTATTACATATCTACAACATCGTCAGGTGATACAGGTAGCGTGTATCATTACGAAGATACAGATTCTCGCGATTCATCCGTTTCGTAAACGTCGCGTTTTGCGCGGTTAATTATCGTTAATTATTAATAGAAAAAAATATTAAAGCATTTTTAAGAGCTCCGATATAAAAAACTTAATATCACGAAAAGAGAACGTATAAATTGCAGCGCACAAAACGCGTAAAGTTTCGAGTACCCAGAATTCGCGATGCATTTTGCATTGGCGATTCATATCTGGCGTAAAAATGTGAAAAGTTGCGTCGGCGTACGATGTTTGCATCACACGCAAAGCGCGTTTTGCGCGTGTTTGCCATGTTTTCAAAGTTTCGGCGAAAATGCTCATCCGCTAACGTCCCGCTATTATGCACATTAACATGATAAAACGAAGTGGGCCGTGGCAAGATGGAAAATTGTACGCGGGGGCGAAAAAATACGCGGATTAAATATGGTGGCGCATTTAATGAAACCGGAATACGCATCATTGCCACGCGTAATTAACTAGTACGGGCCGTTATCTGTCCGATGTACATACGGTTTTAATGTTCGGAAACTCTCCCCCCCTCTATCCCTCCCCCTTTCCCCCGGGGGTGTCGTCTCTGCGCGCCGCATGCACACACTCGGCTTCCGGTCGCGTACCAATTTAATTATTTAATTTAATTACAACAAACATTAATTAAAATATCGTTAAACTGCATCTGTACTGCAGGCGTACAACGGGATGTATTTTGGAGGACGCGCGGCGCACAATACGTGCGGGTTTATTTCTTGTAATTGCGTAAAATTCTGTAAAATCGTCCGACGCGCGTTGGTTACGTAAAATAAATATCCCCCCCCTTCCTGCCGTATCGGAGGGGGAACATCGTGTAATGAACTTTATTCATTACCATTTACTAATGCGGTCATTTACATTATCTCCGCGTTGCATTACCAGTGCTTGAATCACCACGCAATTAGGACGATTTTCCATCCACCATTTTTACCCCACTTACCAATTAATTAACTCTGCCGAAAATCTACGCTTGTAATATATAAAAACACGCATACATACGTCTATACGTGTATATTTAAATATTATAACTTTTAATTATATTATCGACAAATATAAATATTTTTAAAAAATGCATGCCTTTTTTAAACATGTGGAAATATGAAATTGCAATTTTTAATCATTACATAGTTACAAATTGTAAAAGCGGCTATTTAATATCGGCGTTAATTTAATATTGATAACTTTATTATTTCGTCAATTTAACATTTATTATTAGCTTTTCATTACATGCAAAATAATTTGTAAAATAATACAATATTTTGAGAAAAATCGATTTTACATAGGCATTTCTACAAATTGAGCATTCGAATCATAAAAAGAATAATGCCATGAGAACTTTTAGCGACAGGTATTTCGCGCAGTCAAATCTGTTACATGTGGAACATATCGAGTTTATCCACGGCAAACGCGAATAAAAGAATTGCATCTGCTTCGAAAGCGCAAACTGTCGACACAATCGATCTCCCTTCTTCATCGCGTTACGCGGAGTTGTTGCTTTCGTCGGCACTTTTGCCAGACGTGAACTGCTACTATGTGAATAAAACGCGCGCTGAAGCCTTGTCATTGTCACGGGAAAAGCGATATTCACAGCATCCGCGTGTCGAACGCTTCGAGATGCCACCGTGCATTTTAATTTCGATCGAGCTCTTCCTCGCGAAATTAGTCTTTGCCATGCAAATGCGTCGATCGCCGAGATATGGAGATCTTAAAGCAACCGCTCTCCAAAGTTTTCCCGATCCCCGACCATCGTGGCTATCCTTTTCTTTTCTTGTCGCAAAATCGCAACGTCGACAACGATCGCTAGACGATGCTGACACGTCGATAGCTACCATCACAAGCGACCCGTCATGCTTGCGAAAGATAATTTTATTGCTCGAGAAGATGCTCTAGTTCGATAGCCATAACTATTTTTCCATCGCATTAAATAAAAAAAGGTACTTGTCTAGAAAAAAAATGTATAATTGAAAGATTTTTCGATAAATTGAAAATATATGCAAGCAATATTGTTCGTACTAAATTCTCTCGTAAAAAGATAAGTCTTGCCTACTACAGTCTTATAAGAATCTCGTGGCAATTTAATTATTCTACCGGAAAATACTCGCGGTGTATTCAGCTCGCCGATTACAATTAACCCGATTGATCTCAGGAAAAAGTCCATTTGAAAGAATTGGCTTCAACCGCCAACAAAAAGGGGAAAAAGCACTCGCTCGGATTTTCGTAAGTCCAGTCGGCGAAAATTCGGCGCGGCAACTTCAAACGCTCACGCAGGAAGATATATTTGCTAATTGCAAAAAATCTCTGCCGGCTGCCGCTGACGGATGGGTAAGCAAACGTATTAAAAATATCCACACAACGGACGAAACTAAAGCCATTTTTGATAGAGATGGACGTTAATGCCGGACGTAATACGTCCGCGATGACGCCGCGATATGTTCTCATCGAAGGTAGCGACGAGTTTTCGTTATTATATACACTCGGATTAACAGTCCGCCATTTGGCCGGTTCGGTATTACCGCGTTTTCAACTGGAATTTCCGCCGAGAAAGGGAAAGAGAGAGTCTCGGAGAAAGCATCGGACTTAACTACTCTTTGCCACCGGGAGGCTCAGCCCTTTTTCGCGCGCGCGTTTCTTCTCGTTTAGCTCGTTAACGAGCGGAAGACATTTTGCAGTGAGAGCTCTTAGTCGGCGCTTCGGCCAGCTGGTGCGCGTGGAAGAGCATTTCGCTATGTGAAATTTCAATTTTCTCGTCGCCGATGCGCCTCCGGAAGTGCATTTTACGCGGGCTGATACGCTGCGTCACGCAACCCCCTGGAATTGGCTCCTCTTCGTTGTAACCTTTTCTTCTAATGACACACGCTAATTCCAAGACGTGTAAGAGATGGTTTTGCCGATATTAGTAGGAGATAAGCGTTAAGAAAGCGAGTGAATTTTCTCTGATGATAATCTCAATTGCGACGAACTTTGTACGATAAGGCTAAAGTATTGTAGGATTATTTTTATCAATTTGTAATATCCGGCTTAGATGTAACAATTTCAAACAATATTAATATATATAAAATTATGTAATCATGTATACATAAAATTAATAAGTTATTAATATAATAATAGTTTTGAGTATATTAAAAAATTTCGATATATGATAATAAAAACTTAATTTTTTTGTGTAAAAAGGAAACTCAATCTTTAAATTCAAATTTTTTTATCTTTAGTGAATTATCGATAATTCTCTCATTTATACGTAGAGCGTAAGAATAAATTTGCAGCACTTTAGAAAATTAATCAATCACGTAGGTAAAATTGTACTGGCGTTAATCAGTAACTGCCTTATGTTAGCGTTCAAGCAATTGGGTATCAGGTGCTTTCGCTAATGCGTCTTCACCTCGTATCAGACTGCAGTACAATATCAGCAAAGTGTTTGCGTGCAAAACTAGCATATTCATCACCGTCACCGGCACTGAACATGTTAATCCTTATGCAATGCGAGAGTTTGTCCATCTTTTTTCAAAAATTAAGCTAAAGTTATTTTTCTAAAACAATTTTTAAAAAGGTTGTAAGAAAAAAAAAACATTTTTTACTTTAAATATGTAAAAATAAACATAAAAAATAATACAATATAAAGATAAATATACATAAATAAATATGTATGCATATAAATATACATGTGACCGTAATAATATGATTATTATTGTATAATATTCGATCGATATTTACGTAATAATATTGTTACAAAGTAAAACAGCGTAAAATCAATTTTCTGCAGAGGCTTGCCTCTCCAATTTACATCTAGAAAATGAGGGAAGATAGAGAGATGAATTTTGATCGGATAACGATGATTACAGACTCTGGCGGACGCGTACAAACGAGGTGGAAAATGCTTCTTGCTTCGATTAATCCCGCGCATGTTTTGTTATTTATTTGCTCGATTATGCCTGCTTGCCCGATATCGGGGGCGCGTTAACCGCGCGTAAATAAATGATGCCGGAAAATTGAATTGGCGCTTGAGTTCGGCGGGCAGTTTTCTCTCGTTGGGGGGGCTGTTCTCTTTCGAAGTCGCATCCGCGAGTGCCACCGGTGCCGGTTCAATTTCCTAACGTCATTAGTCATCGAGGCCAACTCGGGCTATATCGAGCACTTACTGCGATCGTGCATCGCTCGAGCTTGTCTGAGCTTCGGGCTTGTCGCGAATTTCGCACGCGGAAATAAAACGTCACGACCTTGCGCGACAAGAACCATTCTGTAATTTCGCTCGTGACGAGAGCGTTTACACCGTGTGGAATTAGTTTGTAAAGACGCCGATTTACAAGAGCGAGCCGACAACGATGGACGGGAGAGAGAGGAAGAGAGAGATTTATGCCTGCGGAAAATGGGAGGACGTGGCGCATCGAACCGCCGCTGGTATCGATTCGAGGCGATAACACGCAGCTATTTGAATTCGCTCCAGCCCGCCGCGCGACACGGCTTGAAATTCAATGAAAATTCACCGGCGATAAAACTTCTTGACGCAACGTATATAGGACGCGTGGTTCATCAACCTGGCGATCACGCCGTTTCGCAGCACGTTTGTGCGCCCTCCGTCTCTTCCATCTCTTTCAACTTCGCGGGATTTCCTATGCACGTGTGCATTCCTTTCGAGAAAATAGTCTTCGGTAACGCATCGTCGTCGGAAATCGTATTTTATTTTACACAGGCTGCAGTATTTTTAATCTTCAAGTCCAAAAAAATGCATATGTGTCACTTTGGATTCATAATCCTTCGCTCTCTTCCGTTCGTGAGAGGAACAAGATATTGCGAGTTATCGTAAAAACTGCTAGCGTATCGGTTGGTATGCGGTGCGGCGCGCTTTGAAGTTCATAGTTTCGATGGTTCTTGTTTTCGCGAATTTCC